CTTGGTGCAGCTGCAGTAGTAAATACTTGCTGTGCAGGTGTTGTTGAACCAACCGACAGTGGTCCTGTTGTCTGAATTGGTCTGGTAGTGGTTCCTGCACCTGGCCCTCTAGTACTTGGTGCAGCTGCAGTAGTAAATACTTGCTGTGCAGGTGTTGTTGAACCAACTGACAGTGGTCCTGTTGTCTGAATTTGTTCAATAGTAGTTCCTGCACCTGGCCCTCTTGTACTTGGTGGAGCTGCAGTAGTAAATACTTGCTGTGCAGGTGTTGTTGAACCAACTGACAGTGGTCCTGTTGTATGCATTTGTTCAATAGTAGTTCCTGCACCTGGCCCTCTTGTACTTGGTGCAGCTGCAGTAGTAAATACTTGCTGTGCAGGTGTTGTTGAACCAACTGACAGTGGTCCTGTTGTCTGAATTTGCCTGGTAGTAGTTCCTGCACCTGGCCCTCTAGTACTTGGTGCAGCTGCAGTAGTAAATACTTGCTGTGCAGGTGTTGTTGACCCAACTGACAGTGGTCCTGTTGTCTGAATTGGTCCGGTAGTAGTTCCTGCTTTTTAAAAAGTATAAATAATGATTTAAAAATAGTAAACCAAAAAATTAAACAATACTGTTGATCAGTGACGTATCTAGAAGGTGCGCGGGGTGCCCTTAAAAAACTTCAGTCGCCCCCACTTGAAAAGGTCTGAAGCAAAAAAAATCATGGTCAAGTAGACGAAAACTACCTCATATCACCTTGTTTTGCATGCTAGCGCCCCTTAATTATTAAATCACTCACTTGACCTTCGCGCCCCTACAACCCCTCAAATTTCAAGACTCCCAGATATGCCACTGCAGTTGTTAAGCAAGTTTTTTTTAAATATTGTTTACTACTTCGAATTCTATACCTTCTCGTGTTGTTTTGACTGTCTGTGTGACTGCGGGTACCGTAGGTGGTTTGAAGGTAAGAGGTGGTAATGTTGTGCGTTTTCCTGCTAAAATGCTGGTTGTACCTTCAGCAATCAAAGTTGTTGGACCTGACAATTAAATAACATTTTTAATTTTGTGTAATTAGAATTATAGTATTGCATCAACTTCAAAAAAACTATGTATTATATCAACCTTTCAGATTTAAATGAAGGAATTAAATATTGCTAAATCTTGCACATGTCCTAGGTTCCTCCATGATGTACAATAAAATCTTGTGCAGATTTTATTACTAATTTAATTTTGCATTGACAATTGCATTATGTTTAAATTTTTTGGCAATCATGAAAATTTTATTGAATTTTTCAACAATATATCTTGTAAATTTATTTGTAGTGTAATAAAACTTTGTATTTATATTCGCTTAGATAAGTAATTGTATCATTAAATATAAATAGATAAATACTTGTTTGATTCCATCAAATTTATACTAGCATATTAATTTTGAATTAAACCATGTTTCTTAATTTCATTCTCTTAGATAAATAATTGTGTATAATTAAATAATCAATGCTCATATATAAATTCTATTTTTGTAATCATTGAACTTGTATATCTAAATAAAAATATTTTTAAATTGAATAATGTCTTTTAAATTTCTTAAATAATGAGGTATTGTACAATATTAATGAAATTACATGTAATACTAATTGATGTTCTACCTTATTAATTATTTAGAACTCTCTTTTCAAGCTAATTGTTTAAATTTTTTAGAATTGTATTTGTTTGCATTGTTGCTTACTTTAGGCCATGGCCTTCTTTTTGTAATTTGTCATTGTAGCGTTTATTATTTTTGTAACGGGACCTCTACGGAAACAAGCAGAAATGCTTAAAGGGTTATCCTGAAATTCTCTAATTGTTGTTTATAACTCATTTAATTTTGTACTCCGTTTATTTGTGAGAATTTTTAAATAAATCAAATCATATCAAATCAAAATTTTGATTTTTTTTTTTTTTTTTTTTTTTTTTTTTTAAATTAAATGAAACTGGGAAAAGCTGAAAACTTAAGTCATTAAGTATAATTTTATTGTGCTAATAGAATCATACCTAAAAATACAATAAAACAACAATGATTACCTGGTCCTCTAGTGCTTGGTGCAACCCATGTCGTTTGCCCTCCTGGGAAAGGTGTTAATGTACCTAGTGGTGGAACTCCAGTCGTTGGCCTAGGCCCAGTAGTTGTTGATGCACTCGGCCTTCTTGTGCTTGGAGCAGCTCCTGTTGTCGGTTCTTCTGGGAAGGGTGTTAACGTACCAAGTGGAGGAAATCCAGTTGTTGGGCTTGATGTTGTTCCTGAGTATATAAAATAAATTTGATATTTTAAAAGAATTGTTTTTCTAACAAAATTAACATCTACCAAAGCAAAGGAATCCTAACTTACTTTCTAAATAGCAGCCTAACACCTGGATACGAACACGTGGATTACGACTGCTTTGGATGGGAATAATTGTTAGAGAGGCAGCTTCAATACCAGGCTGTGGTAGAGTAATGCTGACAGAATTCAAATCATCCACATTGCCAGCAAACACCTGAAAAAAAGAAATTCAAAATGTATAATTTTAAAACACCATATTTATGATTTATATAACCCTGTCAAAGAGGGTTTTTTTTTATATTTTACTGGTTTGTTTAAAATGGGTATGTGTATTGTAAAAGTATTAAACACTAATAGTGCAGGAATCAATATAATAATCACAATTTAGCATTTCAGAAATTTTGTTTATTGTTTTAATATTATTCAGGGTATGCTTGGCACAAGTGTCAAGTGAGGATTCTTTTTTATTCTTTACTTGACGTTCCCTTTTTGATCACGGCTCTTTCAAATTAAGTTTTTGCCCTTTTTTGATCTTTTGAATTTTAACATCTAGATCCTTTTGTTTGATTTGATTTAAAAGAAAAAAATAAATGATTATTTTAATTTAATTTAGTTGAATTGAATATCTTAAAATAGGACCAAAAAATATGAGTGTTGATCAAAGGTTTTTTTTTAAATCCTTTGTGAACCAGGTTTGTTTATAGTTATGAATTACAAAATGTAGTAATTAACAACTTTTTCATAAAGAAAAGAAAAAGTATAGCATTAGAAGAATAAGGAATGCTACTAGAATTTTTCTTGAAATTTAAGTTTGGTGTATTTTTCAATGTGTTTCCATCGGAATAGTAACGGAACAAGGATTTCTCTAATGGCAGGGCAATGCCCCCACAGGCAGGGCCAGAGTTGTACTTTGGCACGAAGCACCATTCGAGGCCTGTAGCCTCAAGCCGAGAGGCTGTCTTCCCCCACCCCCAATGAGAAAATGTTTTGGTAATACCAAGTCACTAATAACTGGTCAAAATGTCATTTGATGGTCTCTTTTTGTATCTAATCGACATCCAAACTATAGGCCTATCCAATTCAGGCCAACCTTTCGCACCGTCACTGCATCGGAAAATACATTTTTAATATTAACATCACTCTTTATGCAGAATATTTCTCTATGATGTAGCTACCATAATTGTTGGCCAATAAGAGACTAATCATACTTTATTCGCATTGCACTCAAATAATGACCTTTCTTCTATTTTCTTAGTCAAGATTTTGCTCTCTATTCACTTTTATTTATTTACTTTTCTCTGAATTATTAGACTCAGGGCCAATGATATGCCAACAGCTAACCTAATTACTTTACTATGTGGCAATCCTTTGACAAGACAAGCATACCGTATACACAAGATGCTCTCCATAATAAGTCTCATTATGAAGCTCAGCAAGTGGTCTTCTTTTGGTCATGGGAAAAATTCATGTTTCCATGACAGGAATTGAACACAGAACCCTGGGATTGGAAGGCAAGCACCTTAACCATCAATCTATTCAACTCCACTCTCCCTTCTAAAATTACTTTTTAGAAATGACTGTTGCATTTGACATGAATTAATCACCAAAACTTTAAGCATTGCAACTACGTACACTAGAGCCATCTTCAGCCAAGACATCAAGTAGGGTACCAGGTTTACCCGGAGGTATGTATTTTAAAGAGAATGCCTCCAAATATTCGTTACTACCAGAACCTCCACCTAGTAAATTCAGTGCAGTCACTAAAGCTGGAACTTCCAAATTGACAGTTGCAATTTCCTCAATGGCCGACGTTGTCCAACCGTAGATTCCATTTTGGTCAGGTCTGCTGACAAAATTTAGACGAGGATCTGAGCTATCAGCAATATCTATCACATCAGAGCAAGGTCCTGAAACAAGAAATATTTTTTATAAGTGTTCTTGTAATTTTGAATGCATATAAAAAACATTAAAAATAATTACCAAAATATTCTTCTCTTGGGCAGACAGAGATAGTTAATAAAAAGCCTTGGCCAAAGTTACAAGGCAAATAGGTAGTGTGCACTTTTGAATGTTGATGGTTATTTACATTCAGATTCATATTTATTTACTCAATGCATATGGTGGTAATAAGACAGTAATAATAAAGATGCAAACAAAATAAAATGTAATTGTGTCTGGAGAAGTCAAATAAGGCCAAATGGCTTTACGGCTGGCTAAATCAGAGAAAAAATGAAAAGTAATTTGTTCCAGGATCAAAGACAGGACAAAACACGACGTAACGAACACAAGGGAACAACGACGAAAGGAAAAACGACAATATTTTTATTTTTAATTAATAAATTTATGATGTAGAGTACATTATAAGTCCATTTCGCATGAACTTCGAACTTCTCAAAGCACTCTGTTTACTGGTTATTAAATTCCGAATCAGGCATGTAATTCATCAATATTCATCAATGCAAATTTCATTCCGACTCATTCACACCCTATAAGGTACCCAATTCTACTCTTGGGGAAAGAGAGGCAAACTTAGATAAAGGTGTTTTGCCTAAGCATACAAGCAGTGTGACACATACAGTACCCCCTGAGGCTCAAAGTCCAACTGTTGCAACAGCACTGACAATCATTTATATTTACTCTACTCAATTTATCTACAACACCAATTATAAATCATATGTTTGATAAAAAAAAAAAGAATTCTGAAACATTTTATTATAATTAACTTAATTTTTACCTTATCTCCATCTATATGGCAGTTAAACAGTAATAGAGTCATTTTAATAGTGATAGAGTCAGTACAAAGTTAGTATAAAGTCAAATCTAGAGTGTATTTTATTATGTCTTTCGCAATTAGGTTATTTTGTTAACTTTACTGCACTGTGTATACTTACCTAATGTTTGCCAATTCATATGTGTTGTACTTTCATGTTGAGTAGTGGCAACACCCATTGTTGATGGAGCTTGAGTGGTTGTTGAAAACATTGGAGTTGTAACTAGAAATACAAATGACACATTTACAACATTAGAACTTCATAATCTGGTAATGGAGAAAACATCATACTAAATATGAATTAAATAATAAAATGGATGTAGATATCATTATTAATAATTTAATGGTATACTGCCATACATATGCTAAAAGGGACAGTGTAACATAACAATCATCATTTTAGTATGTTCTTTTAGGGTGGAGAGTGAGAGGAAACAAGTTTTGTTGTGTAATCCATTAAATGGGGACTACTCTTTACAACATTTTTACACAGATCTTCTAGCTTTCGTACCTGTTTTTTCACATCCAAGCAGCTGAAGACGCAGACGTATGTCAACATTTTTTTTGAAAACTTGAAAGGCTAAGGCATTGGTAACGATGCTTCCAAGATAATTTGGAATATCAATTCTTTTAGGATCTGAATCATTTGTATTGCCAACAAAAGTCTGGGAAGAAAGAAAAAATATAATATTAGAGTGATATTAGTGGATGGTCCTATTTTTGTCATAGGGATGTTCTTGAACGAATATTGGCAATAGTTGGTTTATCCCAAGTAGGTATTCACAAAATAATCTTATATATAGGATGGTTCATTGCAAAATGTGTAATGTCTTAACCAATACCTTTGGTTGAGTAGATACTCCTGAAGTAACAGTTACATATTTCTGGGAAAATGGAGGCAAGAAAGATAACTGAAACCTCTCAGTATATGCATTAGTTCCTGCACCACCTCCAAGCATGATAATCCCAGTGATCTCAACAGTCTCTGGTAACGAAATTAGAAGTACTGGTGTTTGAACACGAGCTGGAGACCAGCCATATGTTCCATCTTCATTTGGTTCACTATCAAAATCCAGTTGAGCAGGATTTTCAGGTCCCAGATCAATGACCTTGTTGCATACTACAGTAAATGGAAAAGATACAAAGAAACATTTATTGTTTTAGATAGTATCAAGGCAATATTAATAATTGTGTTGTGCAAGTATGCGGCAAAGCAGTAAAGCTGCATCTCTAAAAAGAGATTAGATTCTGAGACTGTTCACTTGTTTATGCCATTCAGCAAAGCACTTTATCTATGTAGTCTTTCTCCTTTCCGGGAGCATAAACTATTGTACCAGATATGTGTGAATACCAATATGCATATTAGGACCAAAATAAAATTGTTGTGTTGTTCAGGGCTCACTACAATCAACAAATCAGGGTTTGTTGGTTGGGAGGGATTTTGTTTTTTAATATTTAAAGCCTAGGCCTAAATTCTTGGTTCACAGAGCCATAACAAACCCCATTCATTTTGACTAGTAACTTTTACACATCATACAAGTATTTTGAGACCTTCCTTAGAGAAAAAATATATATTGGGTTGGTTTGATATGGACAACACAAAAACTTCTACATACTGTACTAGTTCAAAAAATATGGAAATCCTCAAGTACCATATTACTTCATGTAAATCTGGAATTAAGCATAAGTCTTGCAACAGATTTGCAAAAAAAGACACTTACTAAAAGGTGTTGTAAACTTCATAGTTGTCTGCTCAGGGGCAGGTGTTGTACCAAGCACTGAAGTTGTCCTAACAACTGATGTTGTTAATGGTCTAGTTGTTTGACGCTCCGTTAATGTTGGAACCACAATCTCCACGGTTGATGGTGCTTCAGTCGTGATGACACTAGCCTGACCAGTTGTTGTGATACCAGGTGTAGTAAACACACTTGGAATACCAATCGTGGTTTGACTCGGTGGACCAGCAGTTGTTGAGTATGCAGCAATAGTGCTCACTTCTGGAGAAAGTACAATGATTCAATTACATTTCATGTTTGAAAAAAGTATCATAATAGCTGAAACAAATCTTCTGAATATGAATAAAGCCAAGCACTCACTCTGTTGTACAACGGTCGCAAACCGACAAATCCAACTTCGTTCCCTGTGAGCGTTAGACTAATTAAAGGAGCTAGGCCTATAGCTTAGTGGTTAAGACGTTTACCTTATTCACATGGTCCACAGTTTAAAACATGCGATGCACAAGGCTGTTTTCACATGGTTAAAATCAACTACACTCCATTAGTCTCATAAACAGAATTATGAGATTTATTTAAAAAAAACTACTGTAAACATAATACTAACCTTCTTTCTTGCAACCGAGGGGCTGCATCCTAAGTCTTACTTCATGTTGTTCATTGAATGGGCGAATGATAATACGGGAAGTGAAGATAACATCAACCAATTGTACCAGTTGAGCAGTGTTGTCATCAGAGTTGCCAGGATACAACTGAAATTACAGCAAAATAGTTGTAGTAATAACAATAAAGTGGACATGAATTTACATAATAACAATTCTTTATTAGATTTACAAATTTCACAAACAAAGGTGAATTTACGAATTTTTTCTTAACACCTTAAGACTTAAGAATCAATCAAATATGATCTACCTGGAGGCCTTCTGGAGGTGACACTGTCAACACATTTTCCTGTTCGTCCATGTACATGACTTGAAACTGTTCGACATATGCGTTTGATGTTAGTCCCCCACCTTGGATGAGGACAGCGCTAACGTACGATGGCTCGTCCAAAACCGCTACAACATAAGGTTCATCTTCAGTAGGTGTCCAGCCATAAATGCCATCAACATCTGGAGGACTGTCCAGATATGCTTCTGGGTTTACAGTCAAGAATGGTAGAGACTCCTGGCAGACAACTGAAGAAATAAGGTTACTTTATGATTAAAAACCAACCATCAAAATTTTAGATTAAAATTATCAAAAACAAAGCAATTTTAACCATAATGTTTTTCAATATTATTATTATTATTATTATTATTATTAAAATTATGCAAAATAGTAATCTAAAAAAAAACACTGGAATAAACTAAATTACTGAGGCAAATTGATGGAGACAAAACATCTACTAAGATCCACAACAGCACTTAATTTTTGAAATATTTTGTAAAATTGTAATTGATTTTGTAATAATTAATTACTTACCTTCGGTTGGTGCAGGTTCCAATGTTGTTGTACCTGCGAATGATAAGTAATATTATATACTGTATTAACCACAGAAAATCAAAACGATGTATAATAAAACCTACATAAATGGGCAATTTACTTCACATTTTTTACCATGTTCAATATCTCACACATAGAGCAATATTTAAAATTTGATTCAGATTCTGTGGGTACAACCAAGACATAGAAATCCTGGATTTACCCATGTGAACATCTGACAAAAAATAAGAAAAATAAAACATACTAGATTTGTTATTTCCACAAACAAATGCAATTGTGATGTGGAGAAATTTAAAAATAAAAACAGAAACAGCAGAAACTTGAGAAATCTTATTACCTTCAACAATACATCCAAGCAGCTGTACTCGTAATCTTATCATTTTGTCAACATTAATGATTCGCATCATGATAACAGATGCATATACTGGAGTAGGCAGAGCTACAGTGACTGGTGTAGTGTCATCTGTGTTACCATCAAATAACTAACATTGATTAAAAAAAAAAATGAGAAAAAAAAAATGTCTAATTAAAAGGCTGTATGTTACATGCTTTCATTTTATAATTTTTATTACACAAAGCTTAATTTAATTCTATTCTACTTTTTCTCAGTTGGTGAGTTTGGCATAGATTGCAGGATGTCAAAAAATGTCTTTTAATATTTACCCCTGGAATGGTATGAAGCGCACCAGGTTCATCTGGTTTGGTGTACATGAGAGTGAATCGTTCCACATAAGCATTCGAGATAGGTCCACCACCAAGGAGTACCACAGCAGTCACTGTTTGAGGTGAAGCCAGTTCTAGCGTAACCAATGTATCATCAGATACAGGCGCCCAACCAAAGACACCAGTCTGATCTGGTTCACTGTCAACCAACAATCTTGTATCAGTTGAAGGTGCCAAATCCAAAGACTTATCACAAACACCTGTAGGTAGCAAATTAGAATTTAATTATCTTGCAATTATATGCATTCTTTATTAGTAATTAATAAGTATTTACACCAGCAATATTATGCAAACTACAGTCAAGTTCTAAGGACCCTATTGAGAGGCGAAAGGTGCCATTACTTAATGAAAAAAAAAACATTTGAAGGAAATACTGGTTCCTAAGGCTTAAATTTTCTATAAGGTCCGAAATAACTTTAAGTCAGTCACTCTGTTTTATACATACTTAGGCTACTTTATAATAAAACTGCACAGAGTTCTTCGCAGCTTCACACAATATGAAGAAGATGAATACTGATTGTGTTTAATAAAGTTTATGAAGGGTTATTTGGTAGGCATTATGAATGACTTCAGCATTGCCTTATTTTTTTACAATATGTAGAATAATCATTATAAAACTGTGGTTTCATTTACTTGGTGTCACTGATGTTGCTGGTTTTTGTGGTGTCGCCGATGGAGTACTTGGTCTCATTGATGTAATAACTGAGCCTGGAGTGGTTGTTACTTCAGCAGACGTAGTTTGTTCTGGTTGTGCAGGAGTGGTAGCACGTGGCTGTGTTGTTCCTGCAAGATATGATTAATAATTTAACATAATAATAGTGATTGTGAAGTTGTATTTAAAATACAATATACAATTAATTGTTTTAAAATTGTTTCATTGTGGTTTAGCGCAGTGGCTGTGGTTCAATCCCCCGCTGTGCATTTCGCTTGTGTTATGCAAGGCATTTTACTTGCAGTTGCCTCTCAACACTAGGAGTACAAGTGGGTATCTGGTAGGCTCAAACAGAAAATGCACTGACTGCAGCTGCAACATTATAGAATTCTTCACAGGGAGCTAAGTATGTGTTCCATATGGGCTTGATCCAATGACCGGGGATAAAAATGTTAAGCGTTTAGAGGCTGTGCTGGTATGAAGAGTCTAAGTCTAACATATGATTGTTTATTCAGACAAGTGCCTTGGGCCCAGAATCAGCGAAGTCCCCAAGACAAAAGTCTGGAGCCCAAACTTAGCTATAATATTCAAAAATATATTTTAAAAAAAGTGATAGGCCATGTTATATTATAATTTGTGTTTTAAATTAAATATTTTGTAGAAGCACACTTCACCATCCATACCTTTACTGGTTGTACTTATAAATGGTGGAATCGTCGTTCCTGGTCTTGCTGTTGTAGCTACAAATAAAAAAGAAACATGATATATAAGAATAATCTAGCAGACAAGAAAAGCAAACCAACCTAATTTAATCAAACAAAAAATTTAAATATTATAATTATAAAAACATACATACATATCCAATAACTTATATTTGGTTTTCATATATTTTTACAGTACATGTTAAGAAGGTGGGATGAAAAAATAAATAAAACCAAAACAAAATGCACATAATGCACTCAGACAAAACAATGTTTCAAATTTGAATATAATTAATCATGACCAAACTTTAGCACTTACACTAAAAAATATCTGAATGATGTTCTAAAAAATGTGTTATTACATTTCAGAAGGATGCATGTCTGCTCATTTCATTAGATTTCAACCAATAATGCCTATGTACAATTGTTGGTAATGGGTATATTCGGAGCAGTCAATCAAACTTAACAACTGACCAATCAAGACAGGGCCTGAAATATATGTGCGTCTCACAAACACACACCTTAGCAACAACATATTTAAGGGGCGGGGCTTGGTGGAAAGGTCCATTATTGGAAATTTCTATGTTTCTAAGGATCAAAAATGTTTTGCAATGCTTTTTAAATACATTCTTTCTATAAAACACATGATTTCAGGAAATCAGTTCAGTCATTTAAAAAAAATATTTATATACATAGATTTACCTTCATGTTCACAACCAAGGACTTGAAGTCTTAGTCTGATGTTGTTATTGTTGGTATTCAAAACACGGATAGTCAATGATGATGCAAACACAGGTGTTGATAATTTTATGGTTTTAACAGTAGAATCATCATTATTTCCTTCATAACTCTATAATGAATAAAAGCAACATTTGCCTTACAAGATTATTACTCACTAAATAAGATGTCTGCATAAGTAATTGAATAACTGAATATTTATAATTTCAATTCATGATTTGCATAATATATCAGTTGTCTCAACAGTCATTTAATCACATTAAAATAAATGTTTGTAAACAATTATAAATCTAAGAATTATAGCTTTGATACTGTTTAATAAATTGCGTTTGCTAAGGTGGTGAATTATTCAAATTAAACTATTTGTTTTCGTAATTATATAACCCAACATTAAAAAATGTCATAATTTGGTTAACTAGTTCACCAAGTAGTAGACTATACATGATTTTACTATTCATATCAAACTACATTTCTTACTTAATTCATAAAACTGAATATTCATAAATACTGATAATGAATAATATGCATAATTTACCAGTTGTCCAGGTGGTGGATTCACTGGTAGTAATCCAGGCATTGAAGGTGAAACATACATCAATGTCAAACGCTCAACATATGCATCACTTCCTGGACCGCCTCCTAATATGTTCAAACCTGTAACAATCATTGGTTCCAAGAGATCAACACTCAACAGGTTGAAGTCACCTACACTAGGTGTCCAGCCATAGACACCGTCTTCTGGTGAGCTCTCAAATGGCAGCTTGGAGTCAGCTGGCAGATTCAGTGGAATGATGTTCTGACAAACATCTGCAAACATAATTGAGCTTTTATTTATTCAAGTATTTCAACAATTATTACACTGGCAATAATATTTATCACTTGCCTTTACTTCCCAATTTTATTTAACATAAGGTACATTTAAACATATAGAAAATACTTACGAGGAGTTGTCAATTCTCCAGGTATTGATGTACTTGGAGCGGCCGGGGCAGTGGTCTGAATGCCTGCTGGTCCTGTGGTACCTGGGAATGCTGGTCCTGTGGTACCGATCTCTGCTGGTCCTGTTGTACTTGCAAATGGTGGAAGAGTGGTCACTGGCTTAACTGTCGTTGCTACAGATACAGGTAACAAACAAACATCAATAAATAACAAAATTACTGTTTAGAAATTAAATTAATGACAATACATAACATTTAATTTTATTTATTAAGTTATTAAACCTATGCAAACACAATATTTCCAAAGATGACTGTCAAAGAATTGGACCATTATTTAAAGAAATACTTTTAAAAACTACCTTCATGTTCACAACCAAGAACTTGAAGCCTTAGTCTGATGTTGTTATTGTTGGTATTCAAAACACGGATAGTCAACGATGATGCAAACACAGGTGTTGATAATTTAATAGTTTTAACAGTTGAATCATCATCATTTCCTTCATAACTCTATAAAGAATAAAAACAAGATTAATTAACTAATAACATCTTACAAGATTATTGCACACTAGATACGATTTCTGCATAAGTAATTAAATAACTGAATAGTTATATCATTTATAATTATTAATTTGCATACACAAATCAATGGAGAACACGAGACACGTGGAACTACTTGATCCAGCACTTTTAAAGGAGGTTCACTTTCAACGAACACCGAAAAGGAAATGAGGACGTTTGTTAGGGAGACGGTTCGTACATGGCACCCTGGGTCGGACTGTTCCATTTATTTCGAAGGGGTGTTCCGTTTGGGAACAATGGCAATTAGTCGGTTTATCCAGGTAAGTATTCACGAAATAGACTAATATATCAATTGCCTCAATAGTTATTTATTTCACATAAAAATATCTGTTTGCAAACTATTATACAATCTAATAATTATAGATTTTATAATAATTGATTTGCAGTAGTTAAGGTGGTGGATTATTAAAAAATCTATTTGTTTCCAAGCAATTATATAACCCGACATTTCTAAATTTGATATTTAATAATTTGGTTATTTAAAGAGTCACCGAGTAGTAACTATTCGTTACTCATACGAATTTAAATTTCTTACTTAATTCATTAAATTGAATATTCATAAATATTGATAATGTATAATATGCATAATTTACCAGTTGTCCAGGTGGTGGATTCACTGGTAGTAATCCAGGCATTGAAGGTGAAACATACATCAATGTCAAACGCTCAACATATGCATCACTTCCTGGACCGCCTCCTAATATGTTCAAACCTGTAACAATCATTGGTTCCAAGAGATCAACACTCAACAGGTTGAAGTCACCTACACTAGGTGTCCAGCCATAGACACCGTCTTCTGGTGAGCTCTCAAATGGCAGCTTGGAGTCAGCTGGCAGATTCAGTGGAATGATGTCCTGACAAACATCTGAAAACATAATTGACATTTTATTTATTCAAGTATTTCAACAATTATTACACTGGCAATAATATTTATCACTTGCCTTTACTTTCCAATTTTATTTAACAAAAGGTACATTTAAACATATAGAAAATACTTACGAGGAGTTGTCAATTCTCCAGGTATTGCTGTACTTGGAGCAGCCGGGGCAGTGGTCTGAATGCCTGCTGGTCCTGTGGTACCAATCTCTGCTGGTCCTGTTGTACCAATCTCTGCTGGTCCTGTTGTACTTGCAAATGGTGGAAGAGTAGTCACTGGCTTGACTGTCGTTGCTACAGATACAGGTAATAAACAAACATCAATAAATAACAAAACTACTGTTTAGAAATTAAATAGATGACAATACACATTTAATTTCATTCATGAATTTATTAAACCTATTCAAACGCAATACTTCCGAAAATGACTGTCAAAGAATTGAACCATTATTTAAGGAAATACTTTTAAAAATTACCTTCATGTTCACAACCAAGAACTTGAAGTCTTAGTCTGATGTTGTTATTGTTGGTATTCAAAACACGGATAGTCAACGATGATGCAAACACAGGTGTTGATAATTTAATAGTTTTAACAGTTGAATCATCATCATTTCCTTCATAACTCTATAAAGAATAAAAACAAGATTAATTAATTAATAACATCCTAAAAGACTATTGCACACTAGATACGATTTCTGCATAAGTAATTAAATAACTGAATAGTTATATCATTTATAATTATTAATTTCCATACACAAATCAATGGCGAACACAAGACATGTGGAACTACTTGATCCAGCACTTCTGAAGGAGGTTCACTTTCAACGAACGCAGAAAAGGAAATGAGGACGTTTGTTAGGGAGACAATTCGTACGTGGCGCCCTGGGTCGCACTGTTCCATTTATTTCGAAGGGGTGTTCTGTTTGGGAACAATGGCAATTAGTCGGTTTATCCAGGTAAGTATTCACGAAATAGACTAATATATCAATTGCCTCAATAGTTATTTATTTCACATAAAAATATCTGTTTGCAAACTTATGTGTAATCTAATAATTATAGATTTTATAATAATTAATTTGCAGTAGTTAAGGTGGTGGATTATTAAAAAATCTATTTGTTTCCAAACAATTATATAACCCGACATTTCTAAATTTGATATTTAATAATTTGGTTATTTAAAGAGTCACCGAGTAGTAACTATTCGTTACTCATACGAATTTAAATTTCTTACTTAATTCATTAAACTGAATATTCATAAATATCGATAATGTATAATATGCATAATTTACCAGTTGTCCAGGTGGTGGATTCACTGGTAGTAATCCAGGCATTGTAGGTGAAACATACATCAATGTCAATCGCTCAACATATGCATCACTTCCTGGACCGCCTCCTAATATGTTCAAACCTGTGACAATCATTGGTTCCAAGAGATCGACACTCAACAGGTTGAAGTCACCTACACTAGGTGTCCAGCCATAGACACCGTCTTCTGGTGAGCTCTCAAATGGCAGCTTGGAGTCAGCTGGCAGATTCAGTGGAATGATGTCCTGACAAACATCTGCTTGCACACTAGATACGATTTCTGCATAAGTAATTAAATAACTGAATATCACTTGCCTTTACTTTCCAATTTTATTTAACATAAGGTACATTTAAACATATAGAAAATACTTACGAGGAGTTGTCAATTCTCCAGGTATTGCTGTACTTGGAGCGGCTGGGGCAGTGGTCTGAATTCCTGCTGGTCCTGTGGTACCTGGGAATGCTGGTCCTGTGGTACCGATCTCTGCTGGTCCTGTTGTACTTGCAAATGGTGGAAGAGTAGTCACTGGCTTGACTGTCGTTGCTACAGATACAGGTAATAAAATAAACATCAATAAATAACAAAACTACTGTTTAGAAATTAAATTGATGACAATACATAACATATAATTTTATTTATTAAGTTATTAAAAATATTCAAATGCAATATTTCCAAAAATAACTGACAAAGAATTGAATCATTATTTAAGGAAATACTTTTAAAAACTACCTTCATGTTCACAACCAAGAACTTGAAGTCTTAGTCTGATGTTATTATTATTGGTATTCAAAACACGGATAGTCAACGATGATGCAAACACAGGTGTTGATAATTTAATCGTTTTAACAGTTGAATCATCATCATTTCCTTCATAACTCTATAAAGAATAAAAACAAGATTAATTAATTAATAACGTCTTACAAGATTATTGTACACTAGATACGATTTCTGCATAAATAATTAAATAACTGAATATTTATATCATTTATAATTATTAATTTGCATAATATATTAATTGCCTCAATAGTTACATATTCACACAAAAATATCTGTTTGCAAACTTTTATATAATCAAAAAATTATAGATTTAACAATTAATTTGCAGTAGTTAAGGTGGTGAATTATTTAAAAAATTATTTGTTTCCAAGCAATTATATAAGCCAACATTTAAAAATTAGATGTTTAATAATTTGGTTAATTAAACAGTCACTGAGCAGTAAACTATTCATTCCACATAAGAATTTTAATTTCTTACTTAATTCATTAAACTGAATATTCATAAATATTGATAATAAATAATATGCATAAATTACCTGTTGTCCAGGTGGTGGATTCACTGGTAGTAATCCAGGCATTGAAGGTGAAACATACATCAATGTCAATCGCTCAACATATGCATCACTTCCTGGACCGCCTCCTAATATGTTCAAACCTGTAACAATCATTGGTTCCAAGAGATCGACACTCAACAGGTTGAAGTCACCTACACTAGGTGTCCAGCCATAGACACCGTCTTCTGGTGAGCTCTCAAATGGTAGCTTGGAGTCAGCTGGCAGATTCAGTGGAATGATGTCCTGACAAACATCTGCAAACATAATTGAGCTTTTATTTTATTCAAAGTATTTCAACATTATTACACAGGTAATAATATTTATCACTTGCCTTTACTTTCCAATTTTATTTAACATAAGGTACATTTAAACATATAGAAAATACTTACGAGGAGTTGTCAATTCTCCAGGTATTGCTGTACTTGGAGCGGCTGGGGCAGTGGTCTGAATGCCTGCTGGTCCTGTGGTACCTGGGAATGCTGGTCCTGTGGTACCGATCTCTGCTGGTCCTGTTGTACTTGCAAATGGTGGAAGAGTGGTCACTGGCTTGACTGTCGTTGCTACAGATACAGGTAACAAACAAACACCAATAAATAACAAAAGTACTGTTTAGAAATTAAATTGATGACAATACCTAACATTAATTTTATTTATGAAGTTATTAAACCTATTCAAACACAATATTTCCGAAAATGACTATCAAAGAATTGAACCATTATTTAAGGAAATACTTTAAAAAAATTACCTTCATGTTCACAACCAAGAACTTGAAGTCTTAGTCTGATGTTGTTATTATTGGTATTCAAAACACGGATAGTCAACGATGATGCAAACACTGGTGTTGATAATTTAATCGTTTTAACAGTTGAATCATCATCATTTCCTTCATAACTCTATAAAGAATAAAAACAAGATTAATTAATTAATAACATCTTACAAGACTACTGCACACTAGATTCAATTTCTGCATAAGTAATTAAATAACTTAATATTTATATCATTTTTAAATTAATAATTTGCATAATATATCAATTGTCTCAATAGTTATTTATTCACATAAAAACATCTGTTTGCAAACTATCTTATAACCTAATAATTATAGATTTCATAATGATTAATTTGCAGTAGTAAGGTGGTGGATTATTAAAAATCTATTTGTTTCCCAGCAATTATATAACCCAACATTTCAAAATAATTTGGTTAATTATACAGTCACCGAGTAATAAACTATTCATTACTCATGCGAATTTAAATTTCTTACTTAATTCATTAAACTGAATATTCATAAATACTGGTAATGAATAATATGCATAATTTACCTGTTGTCCAGGTGGTGGATTCACTGGTAGTAATCCAGGCATTGAAGGTGAAACATACATCAATGTCAATCGCTCAACATATGCATCACTTCCTGGACCGCCTCCTAATATGTTCAAACCTGTGACAATCATTGGTTCCAAGAGATCAACACTCAACAGGTTGAAGTCACCTACACTAGGTGTCCAGCCATAGACACCGTCTTCTGGTGAGCTCTCAAATGGCAGCTTGGAGTCAGCTGGCAGATTCAGTGGAATGATGTCCTGACAAACATCTGCAAACATAATTGACATTTTAGTTATTCACAGTATTTTAACAATCATTACACTGGCAATAATATTTATCACTTGCCTTTACTTTCCAATTTTACTTAACATAAGGTACATTTAAACATATAGAAAATACTTACGAGGAGTTGTCAATTCTCCTGGTCCTGTGGTACCTGGGAATGCTGGTCCTGTGGTACCGACCTCCGCTGGTCCTGTTGTACTTGCAGATGGTGGAAGAGTGGTCACTGGCTTAACTGTTGTTGCTACAAATATAGGTAATAAACAAACATCAACAAACGTTAAAGCTTTTATTTAGAAATTAAATTAATGACAATACCTAAAATTTGACTTCACTTATGAAGTTATTAAACCTATTCAAACACAATATTTCCCTAAATGACTATCAAAGAATTGAACCATTATTTAAGGAAATACTTTTAAAAAATTACCTTCATGTTCACAACCAAGAACTTGAAGTCTTAGTCTGATGTTGTTATTATTGGTATTCAAAACACGGATAGTCAACGATGATGCAAACACTGGTGTTGATAATTTAATCGTTTTAACAGTTGAATCATCATCATTTCCTTCATAACTCTATAAAGAATAAAAACAAGATTAATTAATTAATACATCTTACAAGATTATTGCACACTAGATACGATTTTTGCATAAGTAATTAAATAACTGAATATTTATATCATTTTTAAATTATTAATTTGCATAATATATCAATTGTCTCAATAGTTATTTATTCACATAAAAATATCTGTTTGCAAACTATCATATAACCTAATAATTATAGATTATATAATGATTAATTTGCAGTAGTTAAGGTGGTGGATTATTAAAAAATCTTCTTGTTTCCAAGCAATTATATTGAGCAGTAAGCTATTCATTACACATAAGAATTTAGATTTCTTACTTAATTCATTAAACTAAATATTCTTAAATATTGATAATGAATAGTATGCATAATTTACCTGTTGTCCAGGTGGTGGATTCACTGGTAGTAATCCAGGCATTGAAGGTGAAACATACATCAATGTCAAACGCTCAACATATGCATCACTTCCTGGACCGCCTCCTAATATGTTCAAACCTGTAACAATCATTGGTTCCAAGAGATCAACACTCAACAGGTTGAAGTCACCTACACTAGGTGTCCAGCCATAGACACCATCTTCTGGTGAGCTCTCAAATGGAAGCTTGGAGTCAGCTGGCAGATTCAGTGGAATGATCTCCTGACAAACATCTGAAAACATAATTGCCATTTTAGTTATTCAAAGTATTTCAATTCAGTAATAAAAAATTATTACACTGGCAAGGAACAACTTTTGTGTTCTTTTAAAGGACGCCATCTAGTTCGTGACTGCACTTCGAGATAGGATTGCGTTTCAATGAAACCCCCAGAGTAGGTATTCTTGCAGTTTTAATACTCCTTGATTTCATGGCAAGGGTATTCATACTTATAATGCATATACAAACATGTTTTAATGTTTTTCTACTTTTCCCGGGTTCTGTAGGAACATGTCACATATCGAGTGTGTGAATACCAAAATGGAGAAAGTCATAATGGAGAAAAGGATATTTTGACAAATCGACAATATGGAGATAAAAATCACTGGAAATTTGTGCTTAATGTAAATCTCAACTAGCTGTCTACATTAAGTTTGTCACTGAATCATCTTACGTGGCGTTGTTTGGACACCTGGCTGTATTGTGGTTTGCAATGTATGTCCAACTGGTGCTACATCGGTAACGCTAGGATTGGTTAATATTTGTGGCTGCCAAGTTGTTATCACTATAAACACAGAAAGACAGTAAATAAACAAACAAACATTTAATATTTTAAAAATATGGAAAACTGAAGTAAAACATTCAACTGATCATTTAAAGGATTAAGCAAGTTCACAGATCAACACACTTAAGTGATTTACAAGCTTTTTACATACATTTCTAATATGAAAACCGAACACAAAGTTTTTAGAACAGGGCTAAGTTTTCTGTGAAAATGTGTAAAAAAAAAATTCTTGTCAAGCCAAAAGGCTCATAGAAGCTTGGACTTAACCCCAGTTTTAAGTAGCATGAAGCAGATGAAAGTGCGATGTTCCCCTTGGGTGGGATGCTGGTCCACTGCAGGTTACACCCAGCAATTTGCTGGTACCCATTGATACAGCTAGGTAGACTGAAGGAATGCAGATAAAGTGCCTTGCTCAAGGACCCAACCACAATGCACGGTGAAGGATTGAGACCCTGACTTCGAGGTTGGAAAACCAAACCATTTCACTGCGCCAAGCCGCTTCCACCAACTGTTAGGAATTAACGTTAAGAATACACTGATATTTATCTGACCTCGCTCATAGCATCCTAAAACTTGCACTCGAAGACGGGCAGGCCTAACTTGGGGTGCAATACGAATGGACAATTTCTCAGTGATAATCACATCAGGTAGTGTCAAAACTGCCACGCTTGAATCATCCACATTTCCATCGAACACCTTGAAAAAAATAGTAATAAAATAAACACTGTAGTTACATTTTCGGTAATTTATTAAAAGAAAAATCTCAATTGGATTTTATCTATGTCCACTTTATTTATTACCTGAATAATTAATTAGCAATTTCATGTTTATATTGGCATTTTTAAACAGTTGTTTTTAGATTATATACAGATATATATATATATTTCTGAATAATATATACAAATAGATAATAACAGTGCTTGAACAGAAACATGTTATAATCATATTAAGCATAGCCCTTCAACAAGAAGTTCCTTTTGTGGGCCTTTTGTGAAAAAGTAACTCTGGTAGAGGGATTATGCTTGATAGGATTATAACATCATGTTCCTATTCAAGTACTGTTATTAATATTTATTCATTTGTTTATATTGTGTTTTATTTTGAGTATTATTTCTGAATAATGATTTATTCAACATAATTAATATTATAAACACAAAACAAGTAATATAATGTTTATTTTAATGTGTGTAAATTGTTGAATACCAAATTGGTGGAAGTTAGCTACCCTTTCTAATTTCAGACTTTTTTGATTTGCGTTACCAAATTTTGTCCATTGACCAAACAAAACATTTAAAACAAAATACATTAAAAAAATAAAAACATTAAGATTATTATCAAGAGCAAACCTAATTACTCTCTTTTATATATAATACAGTACTTTAAATACCTTTGGTGTTAATCCAGTCTCGTCCGCAACAAAAGTAGGCAGATCACTTCCAACGTCATTATACATGATCTGAAGGCGTTCAGCAAAAGAGTCACTTGAAGGCCCACCACCCAGGATGTTTATGCCGGTGATTTTGACAGGCTCTGCAAAATCGAGCACCACCACAGGAACCTCAGTGGGTGCCCAGCCATAAATACCATTAAAATCAGGTGGGCTGACAAATTTTAAGCTCTCCGGTGACTCAAAGTCTAGGGTCTTGCTACAGTAAGCTTTGAAGAAAAAACAGAACTTTGGTTACAAGCAGTCTACTACGTCATTCTTAGAAACCACAAAAAAAAAATCTTGAGGGAAAATGGCTGTCAATTTTACTCTATGTTGGCATTGATATGGTTCATCAATGTTTAGGATTTTTAGTTTCATATAGTACAATGTTAGGGTGTAGGAAAAAATACCAGTAGGATTAAATACCACAACATTGGAACAAACCATTTCATAATGGGTTATTGTTTAAGTCCCAGGACTTTTTATGAGGCGTACTAAATTAATGATATAAAATGAAACATTTTTCCAAAATATTTATTTTATTGATTTTGTAATACTGTGCTGATGTGCCAAGGAGTAATAAAAGTAGTAAAAAACAACACTGTTACCAATAGGGCAAGCTTCACCAACTACAGAATTCTTATTATAATAGAAACTTACATGTTGTTGCCAATTGAGCTGTTGATGGAATAGGTTTAGCAGTTGTGGCTGAAAAAGAAATATTTAAAAATTAAATAGATGAGCATATGATAACTTTTTTTTCTAAAAAAAAAAAAAAGAAAACACAGTAAGTGAATTTATATGCCACTAATTGAACATTCATTTAGTTATGTGACATTGCTGTAGACAACTTATACTTACTAATTTGTTTGCAACCAATAACTTTGACTTTGAGTTGAACTGGACCATACTGTTCAAGAACGCGAATAACCAGCTCAGTAGTTCTTATAGGAACTGGGAAGGTTATAAGCCTCGGAGCCATGTCATTATAATTGGCATCAAAGAACTATAAACAAAAAGTAGTATAAGCACATTATTAGTGTGTTCACAATGGAGTAATAAGGTTTAGCATGTCATGGTGGCAAAGTATAGTCTCATAGTAAAGGTAATGGTTGGTAGACTTGTATAACGCATAGTACAAAGTCTCTCTGCGCTTTCAACAAATGTCCAATAGATGTTGAATAAAAGAAACAAAAAAAAGATGAAGAAGAGATAAAGAAAAAAAGAAACAACAAATGCACTGTTATGTGTGCCATTATGCAATAGTATTCACAAATATTGTATAACTTATTATGCGTTTGTCAAAACACAACATCATACAAAAAACAATACAATTTATGAGTACAGGATTACGTGACATCATACATGTTATTACAGTGGTGAATATCACACTATATTTTCTTTCAAGCTATTTCAAAGATAAATGAATTATTTATTCTGCATTTTTCATTAAAATGTACATACAATTATTAAAATACCATTAAAATTTTGAAAAAGATGATTATCTAAAATTTTCTATGTCATATATTTACAAAAGTAGACAATAGTGAAGATGACTAGCCAAAGGGGTTTTATTTGGGTTTTCAGCGATAAGAGTGCTTGTATTTCTTGGTCAAAACACCTTATCTATGTTTGTCTTTCTCCACCTAGTAAAATGATGATGAATATTAATGATTGACTTGCTTTAATCCTGAAAGTGCGGTAGAGGTTGTACATTTAAGCGAATTGAGACTTCGGTATAATGTGCTATAATAATTCCCACTACATTACATTACATTATAGGTAGATGGTTATATGTTAGGTGGAAATTATTGACGATTTTTGTAAGTCATATCTTAAAAAGGCATGTGTTATGTCTAGCCTGGCAAGTTAAAGCTCATGTTAAGTGACCAATTAAGTTCATCCTAAGTTATTTACAGTACAGTATTTTAGTTTCAACGTACCTAAACTAGAAGATCATTTCCTTGTTAAAACAGATTTCTATGGTGCTCAGCTCAAATTCAAGGCCCGTTCTAATACCCTTGAGCATGAAACTACGCTGACATTACCATATTTTAGCATGGGCAATAAGATCAATTGTTAAGTCCAGCTTGGCAAATTAAAGTTCATGTTAAGTGACCAATTAAGTTTATCCTGATTTATTTACAGTACAGTATTTTAGTTGTTTGTTGTATTTGTTTATTCTGAATATTCCAATTGTTTATGTTCATTGCCTACTTAAGTAGCCGGTGGAAATTGACTGCCAGCGAAAGCTTGTGTTGAATAAATTACATCAAAGTTAGTCTCAGAGTGCTGCCTTTTATAATCTGTGTATATTGTTTAGACTAACACGGCTTCATTACAACTTTTGCCTACTTAACTATAAGCTTAAGATAAGTTACTTGTTAGCAGCTACACCCCTACAGTTTCTCTTTGGTCAAATAACTACTTGTGTTTACATATTCACCTAAACCATATAATCATGGAGGAATTATATTTAACGGTTTTTTGTTTTGCTGTTTCCTTTTTCATTTCTTTGTAATAGGCCTAGGCCTATGCCTTTCTGATATAACTGGCTTTCAGAATTTTTTTTTTCTTTCATTGATTGATGTTCTTGTCTTGTGTATGGATGCACCATCAAAGTGATGGGTGCTGCTTTTTCGAAAGATTTCTGAATAAATATTATTATTATTATACATGATCTATTACTGTTTCCAATGCTCAAGGCATCAATGATGAGTGACTCAAGTATATAACCAATTATAATATAAATCATAACAATAGTTAGTGTATAGATTTAAGGGCACTGTTGGAAAATAATGACCTGGATGAGCCATTTCCAATTTGCCCAAACACCCACAGGGCTTGATTGCCCTAATGGTCTTAAAAAAAATCAGTGCCTGAAACTTAAAACTAGGCCGACAACATACACTTTGCTCTGCCTCAGTGACTATTACAGATGGGATATTGGTTTCTTCAGTTAGGTACATAATCTGAAGGTTTTCGGCGTATGCATTGGTTCCTGGACCACCACCGGTAACGACCAGACCTGTGACTGTGCTGAGTTCACGTAGTGGAAGTCTTAGCATTGGAGTGCTTGTGGTTGGATTCCAGCCAAGTCCTGTACTGTTCACTAAGAATTCTTGTGGTACTGTGTCAGCAACATCTATCTCTTCATCACATACAACTGAAGAATAACAGTTATAATAAATATTATGCAAATATTTTTTTGAAATAGATAATGTTGGTTGAAACCAGCACATTTGTAATGATGATAACAATGATGGTTTTAATAATGATTACATCAATGATGATGAAAAAGATGATGATGATGGTGATGATGATGATGATGATGATGATAACAATTTTGATGATGATGATGAAGATGATAATGAAGATAAAGATGATGATAATAAAATGATGATGATGATAAAAATGAAGATGATGAAAATAATGATGATGACGATGAATATAGAGGAAATGATGATTTTGATTAGGATGATGATGATGATGACTGATGATGATAATAATTTTTAATAAGATTGTTGATTAGGGTATGCTAATATCAACAATGATCGCCATGATGACAATTATATTGATGATGGTGATGATGTTGATGATGATGGTGTTGATGATCTGAGCTGGCTCTTAAGTAAAATGGATACATACGCATTGGTGTAACTGGCTTTATAGTGGTTGTCATACACCCAATCTCGTCTGTTCTATCCACGCAGTCATGGACTCCATCACACCGCTCCTCAATCGGGATGCACTGATCTAATTCCAGACATTCCCATTCATTAGCCTCACATCCAAAGTAAGGTGTGGTTGTGGGTATGATCGTGACTGTGAAATTTAAACACAGATTATAGTTATTATTATCATTACAACGATAGAACAAAGTAAAAATAGTAATAGCAACAAAAGAAATACAAATACTAATATTTTAAGCTAAGTTACAAAAACCAAAGAACCTACTGATAATACGCAAATAGAATATGAGTATGATAACTCCGAAAAATGACAGACGCAAGGCCGTAATTGATTCTACGTTTCGTTCTCTATTTGAACTTTGTCAAGCTTTACTTTCATCAGCATTTGCGGCAAAGAAAAGCCAAAACCAGTCGCAAATAATGTTTCGGAAACAACGGCCAAAACATGCTGGAATGTCAACATCTTGGAAATCTGTTTTATTGCACTAAACTAACCTTTATATATCTATACATCATGCTACACTGTTATTTTCCCCATTTTCAATGTTAAAACAACAATTTTTAACAATTTGGTGATGGTTTCTGCCTAAAAAATGCCCAAAACTGTAAACTTTTAAGGCTGATTTCTCAAATATTGTTCTTTAAACAGCTGTATGTTTAAACTCCTGTAACTTCCTAACAAAATGTCGGATTTACATGATTTTTTTACCATTTTATAGCTCTCGTTTTACTGTTTAACCCTGTATTAATAACTAACAAACAATTTTTATGACAAGTGAGTGGTTTGGCTTGCCACATTTTGAGGCTTTCTTGCAATATCTTATCTGTATTTATATTATTAATGATGAAAAGAGAATAGCAAAATCTGTTTGCTAAACCATGGAAGCATTTCTTTAAACTATACAGATACAAAAATAAATACATACTTTGGCAGTCCATTGGTTTAATGACACAGTATCCACTATCTTCAGCTTTTAGCGTACCGTTTTCACAGTAGCAATAGCCACAGTTAAGGAAGTCACTTATACAGTCACCATCAACGGCATTACCATCGCAATCCTGAATACAAGTGCATTCCTCTGGACATGGACCTAATTAAAAATTGATGAAACTTGATTTTACAGACACACAAAAAGATGTTTAGTTTTATTATTATTTAGTTTAAGACAGGGATCACATCGAAGTGTTATTTCATTTTTTGTACTGGTTATTATCAGAATGCACATGCACAATTAAAACAGATCACATTTTAGGGGGTTTTCAGTGAAGAAAATATTCTATTTTGAATAAAATCTACAGTACTTTAAATTTAAGCTAGAAGCTATAGAATTGTGGTTTAATATTTTAATTTTTGATCATTATCAGGAATGATTGGTAATTCATTGTCTACCATCTCCTCGTTGCCTCCTACAGGAACAAACTTTCCTCTAGTAACCTTTAACCTTAGCAAACTTTCTCTCTCAACCTTGTTTAATGTTCTACATAATTTTGAATGTTTTAAATAATTTATTTAAAGTCTTTTTAATAGGTTTTAACTTTTATAATGTTTTAAATAATTTTAAGACACTTTGTTAAGGTTTTAACTTCTTTTGCTACTTTTAAACATCTTTTACAGTTTTTCATTTTTATTTTCATTATCAATTTTATATTTTTAATGTAATGTCTTCTAAAGAATTATTGGCATTGTTTTGTATTTTTTTTTTATAAACATCTGCCAAGCAATACAATTTTCTGTATTTTAATGTAGACCAATAAAATTTCTTGAATCTTGTGAGTTTGACCATAGGGGTGAAATTGCTTGGCAACATCCGTTTAATATTACCTGTCATGGATATTAATTACAAGTAGAGATACTTTCAGACTTTGTATGTACATACAGAAATAAATGCTGTATGTTGATGGTACAGTGCATTACGCTGAAGCCGGACTCATTGTATTGAAAAATTTCACTTCGACATGAGCAGCAAATGTTATATAGATGTTGCCCGATGTCTTACCTTCGCAGTCAATCTCATCACTACCGTCCCCACAATCATCATGTTGATCGCAAAGTTGAGGTAATGGAATACAGGTGCCTTGAGTGTTACATGTATACTCTGTTGGTTCACATTCATGTTCACCTGATAATCATAAGCAACATAATATTTAATATTTAAACCATTCGTCCTCATATCCATAGACAAAAATAAGTCACGTACCTTATAACAATATATTCCAGCACTAAAATAATTGATAGTTCACCTAACTGGTCCCATTTGCTATTTAAGGAACACCCTGGCTATCCATCGTCTTAAACCTATATTAAACTGATGTCTCAAAGCATCTAGAGAGCTGAAATTGTTTATCTGATAATTAATCTAACCCACTATTGCCTCTCTCATAATCACAATTGTTGGATCTGTTTAATCCCCTCATTTGCATATTGTAGCATTTTTTGTAATCAGTGTCTATAAGTATTCTTATTTCTGGTGATGATCCATAAAGGTCAAAACGTCAAATCATGGCCTCCCTTTCTTTATTTAGAGTAAGGTTCATTCTATGTTATTACAATACAAAAGAATTAATATTTAATGAATTTTAATTTTTTTTTAAATAATTAAAAATGAAATTCAAAATAAGTCACCCTTATATAAATACTTGTGCATATATTCATATTTAATGAATCTTAACTATTAAATTATGATTTGATCTGCCTCATTCTTCTTAGCAGGTCCTCTAGCAGCCAGATTTGTAATAAATTATGATTTCAGCTTAATAATGGTTCAATATGATACAGTATTTTATTTTATGTAAATGCATAATCTTTTAATATTATTGAGTTATATGTTAATGTTTTTATATAAAGATTATCATATATTGTCATGGACTACATATGTCCATTCATAAGTAAAAGGTTCTTGATAAGCTCAGTGGTGTGAGCTAATACCAAAGTAGAAACTGTTGTTGTTGGCTGCAATGTATTAAACATCCAGAAAATTAGGAAATTAAGTGTGTTTTGTTGTCTTATTATGAAAATAAACTTACTTTACAAATAAAGCCTTAATATCATATCAGTTGCCAGTGAGAATTTTAAGTTTGTAAACTTAGAATTACATTACATTCATTTCTTGTATAGGCTTTTTCCTTGGCAAATTGACATAAATAAAAACATGGTGTTTGCCTTTACCACTCTTTTTATTATTATATTATAATTATCAGTATTAGAATATTTATTAGTCATGCAATCGAACTGAATTTAATAAACATACAATACAAAATATGTTCCACACATCTCGACCGAACTTGTTCCATACTGTAAAGTTTTTTAATTGCATGGAAGATACTGCAAAAACCAGCTCAAATTTGCACAGAAAATCCCTAGGAAAATAGGTGCGCAGAATCGTAACTACTGCATAATACATTGGTTATTTATTTAGTCAAAGCATAATTTTTGGCAAAATCTGCACCTAAATCGGCCTTAATTTTCTGAAATGCGCGGACGATTCTAGGCCCTGGCCTAATTATTGCGTGGAGGATCCCCGCGCACTCCTTACTTTACAGACAGTCCTGAACGTGTTCGCGGTCGAAACGGACCTACACCAAGGAAATTAACAATATTAAAACTTACCACAAGATTCTTCATCAGAATCGTCTCCAAATCCACAGTCGTGTTCGCCATCACAAACAAATACATCAGGTATACATTGACCATTACTACACAAGAATTCACTATTATCACATACTTCGGGGCCTGAGAATACAATATTTGATAATTTTCATGGTAATTGATGCTATCGATGTACTCAGTGGCAATCAAACTTGTCAAGGCCTTGGGAGGCCTAGCTAGGATAAGAAGGGGCCTAGGCCTACTCTACTAGGCATGCACTACCAAACTGCCAGCCACCAAACTATTCGTTCTCTCTCTTTTTTAGTAGTCTTAGAGTAGTTCTAAAGTTACAGCCTATCTACACATATATTGGCCTATCATTGAGTAATTTATTAACCACTTTCGGCTTGCGCAAATAGGGGGCTTTACTGCACGCCTTGGAACTTCGATTGGGACGAGGCAAAACCTAGCCTAGGCTATGTCAAGTATCATCCTGGCCCGAAAAAACGTGTCTCGTTTGCTGTTCTCTGATGATGATGTGATGTGCAACATGCACCACTGGCCTAGGCTAGGCTAAGCCTAGGCCTAGAGACTAAAGGTGAGGCTACAACAACAACGGTACTTGACTCAAACGACTAAAAATACAAACCTAGGAAGTTACTGCTTTCCATGCGCAGTAATTATACTACGTTAGACTGTTTTTTTGCTTTCTTTTTTTGAAAATAACTTGAAACTTTGTTAACATACGTAGTGCGAGGTACATTATTAAATCAAAAGTTTCGAATCGAAGCAACCTTGTGAGGGCGATATTAAAAACAGGTAAGAAATTGAGAAAAAAAAACAAAACTTTACCACATTCATATTCATCCGAATTATCCTTACAGTCAGGCATACCATCACATCGGAAGTCCAAATTTACACAGTGTCCGTTTGTACAAGTGAATTCAATATCACTACATGTGTAAACTAAATTGGAAAGAAAAGTATAACAATTAAATAAAAACAACTTAGCCTGTCGATGGGATGATTTAAGTTTTTATGGTTTTTGGCAAACCCCCAACCCCCTTTAGCAACTATAATATTTAACACACTTCCCGAAAAGTGTAAAAAAAAAGACATCCTCATATTTGCCTTTGTTTAATAATTATAATACTATATAAATCCTGCTTTAAAGATATACTTTCTAAGTTTATTTAAGGCGCACTCTCTTAAGCCGGGTACTCAACAGAAAATCAAAAAACTTTATTCAAACACCACAAGACAACGTATTACAATGTCAAATTAAGTTCTGCAGACTTAATCTATATGCCAAAAGTGTAATATTGAGATGTTTTTGTTGCTTACTACAATCAGTCTCGTCACTAGAGTCTCCACAATCTTCAGCGGCGTCACAAGTCCATTCCTGAGGGATGCATTTGCCATTCTGACAACTGAACTCATCTGGAGCGCACGTCTCTTTTCCTGTAGGTTAAATCAATACAATAAATAAATTACACCGATTTGATCCACCTTACAATATACTTCATTAATTAATTAAGTGTTGCTGGTGTCACTGGTGTCTCATGTAATTACCCACCAAGATACAGATTTTTTTCATATGTTTATGTATTATTATATAAGTATTTTATAACAATAAATGCGCATGCGCTTAATATCATCTCTTTAAAATTACTTGCACTTACCGTAGCAAGGAGCACCGCTACAAACTATCTCTCCATTCAAACACGAGCTAATATTAAACAAAAATATTAACATTTTATATTGTATATATGTTATTGTTTTTTAAATAAATGTCCATAACTATATAAGTATATTATACTAGTATACTATAGTGGAGAAGGCGATAAATAAAATTAAAAAAACAATGATACATCTTTATATATATATATATATACCTATATATATATATTTATGTACAGTTTATATATATAAACATAATATCTAAATTAGTAAATAAAGTTTGTCATTTACCAATTTCTGCAATTGATAGAAAACGAGCTGCCTGGAGGATACAATACGTTATTGTGTTCACAAGAACATTGCTCGGCTGGGACACATTCCTCACCTATCGTACCAGACAAAAAGGGGGATTTAAAATATAAATCACATTCATTATGTAATGGGATAAAATTTCATTTCATTCATTCCTTTGTTTACTCGTCATTCATTCGTCCATCATGCATATGTACTTTATAAACATTTATACATTCAGACATTTATTCATACACACTAAATAATTTTACTTGGGTAGGTTCTGAAAAATATGGTTTTTTTTTTATCATCAGCAATAAATGATTACGGTATACTTTCCAAATTATAAACCTATAGGTAACACATGTGCAATTTATGTAACTTTATAGAGTATTTGATAATATCCGAACCGGTAATAGCTCATTAAAATACACAAAAATAATAATATGCCAACTTACCGCGTAATACCATGCCATATGGACAGAAACAACCCTCGACACACCCACTACAAAATTCTTCTGGGATGGGGTGTCGTTCATCGCACATCTCAGGGCAAACAGGACCACATGCCATGTATGTCGTACCGTAGTCGCATTGCATTGCTGTAAATAAATTATTTTAAAATGATTGACAATAGGTACGCCAACTACGCTACTTCCAATTAAAGTCTAAGTTTCGGGTCCGAAATGTTAACCAATTTGGGTCATTGTGCAACAGAGAGCATGCGCGATAGGCCTGCTAAGATTCTTTTAATTCGGAGTTCAGTAGTTCAATAAGTAGGCATATCCAGTTCATGGATAAACGTTATTATATGCAAATATCTAAGTAGCAAAGATCACAGTGGGTCTAATTCCATGCAATGAAGATTGCCTAAAGTTAAACTAAGCTAAGCCTATAGGCCTATTTTAAACTGAATTGAGAGTCTAAGTGTGCATAAAAAGGTTATTAATAACAATGATTATACATTATGAAACATAAAACCTAAAAAGACTACCCTCTTACAAACTAAATAGGCCTACACACTTGACTGGTAAATATATTAACGATCCATTTTTTTTGTTTTTGGAAACAGAAAACTTACGGCATAGGTCTTGCGATCGCCACCTGATGTATATACCGTATTTGTTGCACTGTTCTGCATATGCTGCAATAGCGGTACACAGACACTCACAATCACCACCGAATGTGCAACTGTGAATGAAATTGATTTATGGTTTAAAGTTTGTCCACATTATCAAATGACAAATTTATGCGATGTGCACATGGGCATGGGATGATGACGTATTACACCCAAATATGGGCATATCAAATTTATTGTCACATACGATTTGATATTGTGGACACCGAGCTTTTAAATAAGATATTATGCTAAAGAAAAAAAACAAGTTGTATTTTTTTTTTCTTTATTGTTACAAAATTATGATGGTGTTGCTGTTTTTTTTTCAACCGAGAGTACTTGTTTTAGATTTTCCTTTTATATTTAAATAACATTTTTTACTAATTCTTGCATTTTTTATCATGTTCGTTTAGCATTAAAAAAACATAGTTTGTATCCTGTGGTTGTAATGTAAAGTAGGTGATAGTCATAAAACTTACGCGCATGCGTCGTATTCACACCATCTGATGAACGTTTCTGGATCGACAGTGCTGTGACATGGTTGAAATAGGTCGTGACGCATGATATCGCAGCTCTTCTGCGACCAGGTGAGTCGGTTGCGGTTTACCTACAGGTTATGAAAAAGTGTGTTAGAGTTACTGACATTAACTGACATTATTAGGCATATGAGAAATCGAACATAATATCAGCTCAAATGCCGATACCAGTACCAGTACCACCCTTTATGGAATACGGCCTAGAAAGCTCCGCTAGACAATGCAATGCAAACAAATCATGTGCACTTATTTAGAACTTACTAAAATATGGGTGAATTTTGATTTACCTCACATGGATCTGGAATGTTATCAGAGTTAACGTCAACACACATATTTTCAGAGACTTTCCAAGAGTTGGCAAAGTTGTCGGCTCTGGCCTCAATAACACCGTCTTGGCTAAGGAAATCGTTATGAGCGATTCCGTCGTAATTACCACAAAGACCTTCCACCAGTCCGGCGTACTCTGGCTGGATCGTAATGTATAATCTTGTAGCTGAAAAAAAAATTAAAGAATTATGAAATTTCTTTCAAATAAGTAGCAAAAATCTGTATTACAAAAAGTTATACTTTCAAGGCACAAAATGATGAATGACCGGGAGTAAGATTGCAAGAGAAATGCTTACCTCCGTCCCACATCATTTCAAGACCAACGTCAGATCTAAGAATAACGAACAACCCAGCGTAGTCTATTCTCATAGTGTTGTAAACCTTTGGTAGTTGCACACTCAAATCGTTCACAAGAACTGCTCTTCCACGAAGCAGGTCTACGGTTATCGAACCAATTGTTACGTGAACAGATTTTGTACAAGTGACACCTTCAGCACCACATGGTACATTTTCAGCAGTAATCAAAAAGGCACCGTCAACCTCTTTTGCCAATACGTATCGACAATTTCCCATGAAAGAATATTTCTTGCCGTCAAATGTGATGTAATGTGGGTCTCCGGTCGCAATACATGTCCCTATAAATATATAAATCACAAAACATTAGTTGTCTGGTAGGTTGGATTTGTTCGGGAAATACACCAAGAATAACTCATGAAAGTCCGAAGACTTATTAGGGCCCTTCTGGTGGTGCTGTGGACAGTAAGTACATCGTGAGACAATCTCTTACTCTTCTCCGAAATGAGTACTTCTATCTTCATGTGCACATGGGCCATATTGCACTCGGGACCAACGGCCTAAACGCCATCCGACAGAGGGTTACGCTATTCAACTTGCATTTCAACCCTCCAGCCGAAACATAGGAACAGCAGCGAATGGCATAGAACCGGAGAACAAGATTCTGGTTTTGATTCTTGCGGTGGGTAAAGCCGACCTCTAAGGTCCAAAAGTAGGAGTATAAAGTTATGGAAATTTATCTCCACGGTCCAACACACAAACAAAAGTTTCACCAGTTTAGTTGACTGAGCAAGCTGCTCTCTATAAGCTAAGCTTGTAACAGCAGGCTTCAGGACACTATGAATTCTGCATTTATTCACACATGAGTGGAAGGCCTATGCTAATATTTCGACTATTCATGCTAATTATAATGTATCATTTACCAGAACACTTTTCTTTGGTGCATTCCCAGTGACGTCCGCGACATATGCTGTTGGGAAAGAACAGAAGGCAAACATTACTTTGGTTAAATAACAATTGCTATTGCTATCAATATTATTTTTATCATCATCAGCGTTATTACAGTATAGCTTTTACATTATCGTTTTCATTATCTTATTATCACTATATTATATTATTTTATAAGTGACAATGTCTTGTTATTAATACTTAAAAACAGTAAAAAAAAAATCTGGAAACATTGAATTAAGACAATGAATGCATATAAAAGGATCAAATAAGTTATTTTTTGATAACTTACCATGAATTGCAGTCCTTCATTCGTGCTTGTCCGTTTTCATATCTTTTTCCATTATGTCTGCATGAACAATTTTCAGGATGAACGCATACATCTTCCTAAAGGGCAGCAAATCATAAAATTTTAAAACGCTTGGTCAATTAATTGATTTATTGATTAAATGATACAAATTCAATTATCAATTATTTTAGAAATTTTTTATTTTGCTAATTTCTCAGTTTGTTAATTATTCAATTCGTTAGTACTTTTAATTCGTTAATTCAGCAGTAATTCTAATTCAAATTAATTATTCATTCACTGATATTTTTTTTTATTAATTATGAATTCATTTAATAATTATGTAACACTTACATCTAGCACCATACCGTCTGGGCAGGTGCACCCAGGTGTATAAGATAATCTACATTCGGGTTCCGACTGATAGTTTTCACACTTCAACGTGCACTGTGTCGTAAACTGCTGGTATACTTGGTTCTTTGGACATGCCACGTCCACGTCGCACTCATTATAGTCGCATATGAATGTACCATTTAAGCATGTACTGTAAAAAAAAGAGCAAAATTGGAACTTAACTGTCACCCTCTAATCACAAGATCGTGTATCAATCTCAAAATAATAGCAAGAGGTACGGTATCTCACTGGGGCACTAACGTTTTTGTGTTTACTTTTGACTAATTAAAGTACAGTACAGTACGGTAATTACTTACGCCTCAAAGTGTACGAGGAATTTAAGAGGAATGTTTTATTGCTATTTTACTCAAATCATTAAGTTATTATGGGTTGTCAATTGTGTACCATTTTTTTACAATCTCAAAGAATACTCTTACAAGCGTTCAATATGAATTGTGAAATAAAGATTCGTTACCAATTTTGACATGGATGTTCAATGACACTTCTTGACGGATACGTCTTTCCGTTGTACACGCAACTACACGAATGGCGCGGTACACACTGGCCGATGGCATCAAGCACCTCACCTTCTTGGCAGTTGCAGCCGGCAACACATTTGTTATATGTACAATCAGACTTGTAAGTAAGATCTGCGCACGAGTGCTCACATGCCTTACCACATTCTTGGTACTCCTGTCCGCCAACTGAGCACATGATCTCTACAAAATTCAAAATTCATTCGTAATATTAATCTATATGTTTTAATTAATTCATATATAAATTTGCATATATGCATTATATTTTCAAAATAAAATTTTCTTTTGTAAAATCTTCGCAAAATAATTAGATTAACTTACCGCATTTGCCGTTGAGATCTTCATGGAACCTCCAGTCTTCAACGGGGTGACCAGCCAATGCACATTCCCGTGCGTATGTTGCCATTGCTCCGCATAGATTCGTGTCGTGGTCGTTTCCTCCGCAGACATCATGCATACAGTTATCGTAGAAGATTTCAACTTCAACAAAGCCATGACATGTTGCGAATGTCGACGATTTCAGGAAGCTGCAGTCGTTTTCAGCACGGATGACATTACGGGCGTTGATGCTGCAGGATTCGAACGTCAGGCGATCGACGAGTTCTGGACAGTCTGCATTTTCGAGAACATATCCGCCGGCAAAAAGAGCAACGCTGGTCTCAATGTCCATGTCACGGGTTGTAAAATCGTTCTCCTCTACACCATCGAAGGTTCCACATAGTCCACGAACCTATAAAATAAACACGATAAACATAGAAAAAAACATAACTTTAAATGAGTATGGGGCCATGATTTACAATGTAAATCATGGCATTAAAACGTTTCTACTAAAAGTTACATTGAAGTTAGAGATTGCCATTTTTCCATCTCTCTCTATATCATTCTGAATTACGATTGTCTTTTTAACAAATGCTTTGTATTGATATCGAAAAATGGCTTTTTAATATTTATAGTCTCATTTAATTTTTTTTTCTGTCAACTTAAAAGGAGAGCCTTCTACAGTTCGTGTTTAACAATCCTAGGCATTTTTTATATCCTTGCTTATATTTTTAAGTTTCATATTTTAATTTTAAGTTTTAATAAACCACATCAAATAGGCCTATTTACACTTTAGTAAAAAATAATCAATTATTTAATTAACAAACTTACTGAGTACATATAGACGGGGTCAACGTTAATATAAATCCGATGCACTCCATCATAGAGTACACTTAGGCCAAATGACTCAACAATAGTAAATATTGACGAGCCAATGTGAACATGCATATCGCTATTTTTGTACGGCAATGATGCAATTTCTCCGTTGACCGAGACTTGGCTGCCTGGGCCTAGTACGACTGTCGTATCGTCAACGGCTATCGTGACTGAAGTTGGGCACACCAGTGACCCGTCGCTACCGCAATCCTCAAATTTAGCCGACACATGGAACTTCATTTTTATGAATTCCTGAAGGTTAAAAAAGATAAATGTATGTATGTGTATATATAATATATATATACTCATATATGTGTATAAATTAAATAGTAAAAAATGTTGTACAAAATAACTACCAGACGCACTCACAACACACAACCCCTCCACAGACACAGCCCTACTAC